TGGCAACAAGCAAAGGATATTGTAAAAAAAACAAAAACAAAAACAAAATGTTCTACTTGTTCCTTATATAACCAAGCTCCATTACCTGCAGGGAGCAATCCAAAAGGTATACAAAGAAATGAAATTTGGTAGATATGTTTCATTTTGGAGAATTTAGAAGATTAAAGTATGTATACCATACCATTGATACCTATTCAGGATTTCAGTTGGCAAGTCCTTTGAGTTCTGAAAAAGCTGATTCTGTAATTACACACCTACTAGAAGTTATGGCCATCATGGGGATACCTGTACAAATTAAGACAGACAATACCCCAGCATATGTCTCCAATAAAATGAGACAATTTTTTGCTTATTACAATAAAGAGCATGCTACAGGTATACCACACAATCCCACAGGCCAAGCAGTCATAGAAGCATCCAATCAAACTTTAAAGGTTATGCTAAATAAACAGCAACAGGTAATAATAACTCTTAGAAACAGATTACATAATGTTTTATTATACTTGAATTTTCTCAATGCTGATAAGAAAGGAACAACAGCTGTGGAGAGACACTGGACAACAAACACAACTTCTGAGCTAAAGCAACTGGTTTATTTCAAAGATGTGTTGACCTCAGAATGGAAACCAGGATATGTCCTACAGTGGGGAAGGGGTTTTGCTTTTGTCTCTGCAGGACAAGAAAAGCTATGGATACCAACATAATTAATAAAAATTTGATTCGAACAGAAGAAACCCCTTGATAAGAAGAAATAAAAGCTCATCCACCAATGTGACATCCTCTACAAGTAGTAAGAAAAATTTAACAAACAAGGGTTGGGGTAGGGTTCTGCTTTTGTCTTTACAGGACAATAGAAATACCCATCTTCAGAAGTCATAAGGACTTGGATATTCAGACATCTACAGCAGAAAGAAAGGTTCTGTTGGTACCAATCTACACAGGGTAAAATATCACTGCCAAACATTTATATCTCTTTAACTTTAGAAAAGTTGTGGTTCCAATTCAATTATACACCAAGCTGGCTTTGGAGTTGGAACTGGCTCACTTCTTCTCTAAACCCAAGCATATTGCTAAAAGAAAAGGTTGAGAGATTCTGTCTCATATCAGAAGAGCCATCTGGTGTGGAACAGGAGAAAACCAATAAACAGGAACCATTGTCTTCAAGATTTTAATTCTTTCCATACTTATTCTTGATTTCTCAGAATCCTTTCTTACATGTCATGTTATGTTTAAACCCATACTTCCCATTTTGATATTAATAACGTTCAATTTTTTCACAGTAAAAAATAATTTTTTCCAATAGCAATCTTTGAAGTCTCCAGAAGGAAGATGGGGCCCCACAACAACTCTGCCCAGTTCAGAATAATGCCATAGTACTCATCATCATACTACACTTCTAGCCAGAATCTCAGATAATCCTACCCATTATTCTGAGACTGGCTGCAGAATCTACAGTTAGTCCTACTAAGACTTAACTATCTGAGCTTTCTTACAAGACCCCACAGAGATACTATTTCCCCCTGAACAGCAATTGCCTTCTGAACAACAGGATGCAATTCTAAGAAAACAATGCCCCTTTTCCCAAAGGTTTCATGTTTCTGAGAGTTATGGATAATGGTTATAAGGTTGGAGGTGGAAGAAAACATTGGACGCGGTATTCCCCTTAAAAAAAGAAAAAAGAGGAATGGATAAGTATAGAATATTAAGGTAAATTATTGTATATACTAATAAACTAATTTAGTAAAATATCAGCCTTAGATAAATTGTACTGTTATGGATTCTTGTATATTGATACAAATATAAACTACTTTTATATTCTTATTCCAGATAATTTGTATATTGAAACAAATACAGAACCATATTTGTTGTAATGTGCATATTTTCTACTCTTGTTTGAAGTTTTTTTATATTGATACAAATGTAAAATTATAATTGTCATACTGTATATATGTTCTACCTCTGTTTAAGATATTTGGTATATTGATACATATTTAGGATTGTTGTCATATTGCATATTGCACTATACATTCCTATCTCTGCTTTAGCTACTTTGTGTATTGTCACAATTTTGAGGTCATTGTCCTTTTACTATACATTTGCTTACAGACTATTTATTCTGTATACATGAGGCCTTAGTCATTAGGTTATCTAGGTAGATAAGACTTACAGATTTATAGTCACCCATGCTTGTCATCTCTATAGTTATGTTAGTTAGGCTGTCCAGATTTACAAATATATAAGTCAGATGGAAAAGTAGTCTTCAGACACTTCATAGACCTGAAGAATACAGCACTTAAATGTTTTGATAACTTGGAATTCTGTTGACGTGAGACACAATTGCTCCTGGCAGCACTGATCTGATCCCAAGAGAATGTTGGGCTTCTGAGACATTTCCCTTTGGAAGTTTGTCTTCACTTTGGCACAAAGTGGTCCACTGGGAAAAGAATTGCCCTTGTCTTCACTGCTGACAATAAAATGGTCTGACAGATACTCTAGGCCTGTAGCCAATTTGAATGCACCAATGATACTGAGAAACTTTAGGTGACTGTCCAGGCTGCCAGCTGTCTTTGTCTGCTCTTGCAAGATTCCCGAAAGTTGCTTGCATCCTTCTACCATTTCTCAGGTATTATTATATTTCTTCTCATGTCTTTGATGAGATTGAAGACCAACAGTTATAGTTACAATCTTCTTGTATCTTAGCTAGAACATATTAAGTATTAGATTTAGGTTCTTTAGGATAGGACACCTTTTGGAATGATCTCTGTAGCGTGCAATTTACCTATGCTCCAGACTTCTCTAGATTTTAATATTTTAGTATGGGTCTCTTGTTTGATATTGTTTTTGTTGGTTGTAGTCCCATCTTGTCCAGGTCATTATCCCTTATTCCTCCTGGACAATAGTTGATAATAATTCCATTGTATGTAGTTTTGTATTAGGTTAGAACTTTCTTATTTAGACAAAAGGAGGAGATGTAGTTTTTAGGATTCTGTTCTCCCTCTTCCGGTCTAACATCTTACATCATCAGGGAGCACAGGCAACTATGTCCCCACCTTAAAAAGCCGGACACAGATCCCCACCCTCTCTTTCTGTTTCCTCTCTGCTGTCTGCTCTGCCCTGCTTCCCTCCCCCACCAGGCCTGGCCTCTCCTTCCTATCCCCTCTTCTTTCTAATAAAGCCCATTCTAACTCTGGTAGCCACGGCCGTGACTTTTCCAAGCAGCACCATTCATCCTTTCAATAGTGCGTTCTGTTCCAGCTTTGACCTGGAAGTACTACCCCTCACTAGTGAGGCTTCCAGTAACTGCCATGCCTACCTATGACCTGTCCCTGGGATGGGGCTGAGATAGGAACCCTTAAGACCTGGGATCTGGATGTGCCAGATATCTTGGTTCCTGGTGATCCTGGATGCTGGAAGACAGATCGAATCAAAGTTCTCCAGAGAACCCCACTGGACTGCACCTCACCTCTCCCAGATCCTGTCTCCAACCCCTTTACTGGCTAAAAGTTACCCCAAAATAAACCTCTTTTTAACTATATGGAGTTGCCTTGATAAATCCTCACAATATTTATTTCTCTGCCTGCATAAAAATCAACTCCAAATGGACCAACTACCTTAATGTAAGACCTGATACTCTGAAATTACTATTGGAAAAGTAGGGAAAACTCACCAAGGTAGAGACATAGGTTAGAACTTTGTGAATTAAACTCCATTTGTCCAGGAAATATGGCCAACCATTGATAAATGAGTTGTCATAAATGTCACTATATGAACTAATCTGGATATTATCAAAAGATGAAAATACATTTGCCTGTGTGTGAATTGGAGACCCTTGCCCATTGTTGGCAGAGCAAGCATTGATACAACCATCGTGAGACACAGTACAGAGATTTCTCAAAATGTAAAACCCTGTCTTCCCTGTGATCCAGTCATCCCAATATTCTAGACATAAGAAAGGAGGTCAGGATGCCAAAGAGACCTCTGTACTGCCCCATGTAACTGAGACCTATTTCTGACAACCAGGCTATGGAATTAACCAGCATGCGTCAAGGGGTGAACTGATACAGCACAGTACAGGACCCCTTACAAAATCAAAACCAGACCTGCTAGATGACCCATGCTGGCTGTGTCTCCACAGAAAGAGAAGTGAGCTGCTTGTTGCGTTTCTTCTGACAGTGATTTGGTTGCAGGGGGACAGGGCTCCTATCATTTGGGAAGCCTCTCAGTCTCTAGTTCACATGGGAGCACAGAGCATTCCTTGTCCCTTGAAGGAAACTCTGCCCCCTCAACAAGATACGAATGGCAGGGCAGAAATACAAATTGAGGAGGGAACCAGGTTACAGGCTACACAAAGGCAATGCCTTGTGATTAGGAGTCAGAGCCATTGTGAGAATTTCCACACCAAAATATAAGGATCTTTTTGATGATGCTGAGATAGGACAACTGCAGAGAAAGTTGGGATTATTTCAAATGAATCAAAACCTAATCCTTTAACAATGTGTCTACCCTACATCCACATGCCTGTTGAAGAATAATGTAATTAGGCCTTATAATTCAGGAGGTACAAACCTGTCACCCCAGTACCCAGGATTCTGAGCAGGAGTATCAGGAGTTGTAGGTCAACCTAGGCTACACAGCAAGACCCTGTCTCAGAGAAAGAAAGGGGAGAGGGATACTGAGACTTGTAGTCAACTTGAGTCCCTCTGAAGGACATTATGCTAAGAAAAATTACCCTTGAAAGAGAGAAACACTGCATATGTGGAGCCTAAAACAAAATTCTCCATTAGTGATTATAGCCGGGTGGAGAGATGTTTCCAGGGTGTAGGCTAGGCAGTATGTAGGAGGAAGAGGGCAGAGATCTAATGCACAGAATGAAGACCAAAGTACATCATGGAGAATGAGGCTGCTCTCACCACAGAGAGAAGTTCAGAAGATAGACATGCTGACCAATTGCACTATCAAAATATTCATATAGATATAAATCAGGACACCAGAGCATGTGCTTCAAATATACAAAGGAATTTATTGTAACAAGAAAACAGTATCTTTATTCATACTGTGCCATGTATCTTTTTGTCCAGTGCCTGTCTTTCTTGGTAACACTTCTGGAGAGCAGTCTTATGCCCAGCTCTCTGAGCATATCCTTGAGGGCTGATCTTCACCTGGATACACAATGCATAAAGTCATCAGTCACTCAACTCTCACTATCTAGGCCCTTTCCTTAGAGACTGTCTTCATGGTTCAGTTCTCTAGGTATTGGTTGATGTCACTCTCTAAAAGGGGCCCCACTATAAAAAGCCCTCAAATTACTGTCAGTGTTTTCTATGTCTGTCCCTTGCAGCCGGCAGTATTTCTGATGGAGAAGTGGTGTCACTGCCTAGGTGATCAAGGGAACAGCTGACTCCAGGCAGTAGATGGAGGGGACTTGAGCAGCACCTCACCATCACATGGCTCCTTACAGGAGAAGAGATGCATAACCCTCAGTGAGTTAAGTCTCTGAGCTGCCTCAGACACTGTTCCCCCAAAACAAGGGTTTAGTACAAGAGCCTGTGTGCTACCTGGATCAGTAGACATTTTCCCTTGTTCCTCTTTAGTCCATCTGCTTGTAAGTCTCTGGCCCAACTTCAGAAGAAGTCGCCTCCATCAAGGAGACCTGAAAACAAGGCATTTTGGTAAGATTACCAAATGCTCAGTTGTCCATCACCCTGTAATCAATCACAACTTCCCCATGGCCTGAGCAAAGGAGCATCACCTGTGTGTCGTTCTTCCATCCAGTGTGTTAGGGCTTAAGTGGCATCTCCTGCTCTAAGCACCATCCAGTTGAAAATGTCCCTTGCTGAGTGTAGTCCCAGGAATCTCCTTGGCAGCCCCAGCATAGGGACACACAGGTAGCAAAGATCTTTCCCAGCCTGCTGCCTGGGGACACAAAGCCTCAGCAACAGCAATGTCCCTACAGGATGTCAGAAAGAAAACAGCTGGGATCTTTGTGTGAGATAGTGTTGAAAATAGTATCTTGGGGTATTCTAAAGTGTGGTTTTGGAGTACACTTCAGTCTGGGCCTAAGGAGGGGTGTGGATCTGACTCCTTAAATCTCTTTAGGTGTCTCTGAGTTTTCTTAGGAGGTGGGAATATGGCAGGAGACCATGAGCTACCCAGAGGAAGTTAGGGTGGAGTTGTTAGGCCAGGAGTTGCCATTTTTTCCATCTACAGATTCTATCCACGATCATGCTTGGAACCAGCTCCATCTCTGAATCCAACTGTCAGACACTCCAGACTTCACCTTGCTTCCACTCAAAGCACAGCTGGTGGGCCTTACCTTGCACAGGAACGGATGCCCTGGGGCAAAATGTGCACCATGGCATGTGCTGGCTTCACGTGGCTCCTGCGAATCAGTAGAGCAGGGTGGTAAGTGTTTGCCGTGTGGGTGGAGACAGGAACAAGCTGAGTTAGTGGAATTTGAGGCATTTCCAGGAGGGAAATCACATGGAATATGAAACTACCTTGCTTGGAATGGGAATCCTCTCCAGTTCAAACAAACTTCACTAGTGTCAACTGTACACAAGGTATACTGGAAGAAGTGTGTGTGTGTGTGTGTGTGTGTGTGTGTGTGTGTGTGTGTGTGTGTGTGTGTGTGTGTGTTGTGTGTGTGTGTCTGTCTGTCTGTCTGTCTGTCTGTCCAGATGCAGAATACAGAAGAATACATCCATATGACTCAGGTTGCAAAGCAACAAGCATGTTCACCCATAATAGTGCTGGGGTGAGTTGTGAAGGTGTCTGGATCTGGTGGGGACAGGAAGCAAGCTGTCTAGTAGTTCAGCATGGTGCTGAGAGCCGCACCATAACTAATGGACTCACCTGTTCCCACACACTCTACCTTCCCAAATGAGCACAAGATGGACACTGTCTGCAGACTCGTTGCTCTGTTTCTGGCTCCAACCTGATCAGCAATATCCATCTTGAACACATACAAACTGGTCAGGCCTCTGGAGTCCTCCTCTGCTTCCAGTGCCGCTGTCTCTTCTAATGACTCATAGGTATACCTGGAGACAGGTAGCTGGACTGACGATCTCTCTGTGCGTGGAAGGTCCTCTGAGGCCTGTTTTCCTAATGACCACAGCACTCCGTGGATCCTTGTTTAAAGGACTTCTGGTCCCAAAGAGTGCTTCACTTTACTGGCACAATTGTGGCACCACCAGCCATCATGAACCTACCTGCAAGGGAGAGTCAGGAGGATCATGAGTCTGTGAGAACTGCCTCCCAGAATCCCTTCTCAGTCCTCAGGGTCCAGGTAATCCAAGAAGGGTGTGGCATGCCCCCTCCTTCCCAGTCTTCATCTGCAGACACAGGAACCCTTTGTTCCTAGTTTCAGCCTGTGATATGAACACAGCTTCCCATGGCACTCTTCCTACCTGGCTCTCTCCTGCACCGTGTGCATCTTCAGCACGCCGCTCTCCACTCGCTAGTTTCAGCTTCCAGGGAGCACAGTGCCTCCAACAGCACTTGAAACAGACACAAGAAAGGGGCCTCTTAGGAGAATATGCAGGCCTTCTGCTTGGCTGTGCTGGCCCTGTGCAGTGCTGGGGCCTCAGTCTGATTCCTCCTGAGTGCCTATCCCATTGCTCTCTTCACCCACTCTTCTCATCCATGCCCAGCCTCAGGCCACTATCCTCTGCTGTCTATCTACATCTAGGGCAAGTTTCTCAGGAAGGATACTGTGGGATTTGCTTCCTGGTGTGATAGTATAGGATCACCTATTCCTACAATCTGTTTATTTAAAAGCATATCATTTAGTCCAGGAAACAGCGTAGTGAGTAAAGGTACTTGACCCCAAGCCTGGGGACCTTAATTCATTCCCTAGGACCCACATGGTATAAAGACAGAACTGACTCCTGCATGTTAACTTCCACACACATATAGTAAATAAATATTTTTCTTTAAAGAAAAGAACATCTTTTTCTTTTTCTTTTTTTAAGAGGCCTAGATACGTAAGTGCATTGTAGCCTCTCCACCTACCTGTTACCTTGGCTGCCTCCGTGATCCTTTAAGCTCACAGGCAGGATTTTGTTGCAGCCTAGGTGCTCCCTCTTTTCCGTTGGTAGGCAGCAACACAAACTTCTCAGGCCTTTTATAATTCTGCTCTGTAGGCTCTTCCAAACCCGCTTTCTAAAGGGAGCTCTGGGTGCAGTCTGGCTCCGGCCACTGAGGTGTCCCTGGGGTGTTTCTGGGGAGGATGGGCTGAGGTCTTTTTCTCGTACAATGGGACCCTCATCCTGGGCCTCCTTGCTGGAGAATGGGGGTGATCTATCCTGTGAGGTCGTGTTGCTCTTTGAAGCAGCTGTAGCCACACTGTGGGGCTGTCCCCTGAGGTCCTCCTGAGGTGCAGTTTGTGAGAGAGATGAGCTGGTCCTTTCACCTCTCCGACTAGCTGTAGCTACGCTGTGGGGCTGTCCTCTGAGGTCCTCCTGAGGTGAGGTTTGTGGGAGAGATGAGCCGATATTTTCACCTGGTATGTTGACATCTTTGCACTGAACTTCCTCCATTGGGGTGTGATGAGATAAAGCCTCCTGTGAGGACGCCTTGCTCTTTGATTTGTTAGGGCCAGCTTTGGACACATTCAGGGATAACTTGTTGGAGTAAGTTTCCAGTCTTGAAGACACTTTGGTACATATTTCATTGGAGGTGTTAATAGTGCTCCCTGTATCCCCCCAAGTGCTATTCATGAAGTTAGCCTCGTGTACACGATGGGGGCAGATTCTTTCAACTGGGGCTATTTTCTTGTTAGGGCAGTTCACGGTGGGAGGCATACTGTACCTCGTTCTCCCCTTTTTGTCGTTCTCAGGACTCTCAGGTAGAGTGGGCAAAATGGAAGAAGTGGGAAGGATAGGGGTACTAGATCCTCTCTTTATAGCCACTTTAGGTATTGTGGGAAGGTCTGTAACATTCAAGGTTCCGGAAGACTGCTTGGGCCGAAGATCTTTTATAATGTCGTCTTCCCAGGGTGACTGTTGCCTAAGAATCAAGTAGGTGGCCATCACCTGATCAAACTTCTTCTCCTGTAAAGCTTCCATTATCTCTCCTTGCTTATAACCCATGACACCCATGATGACCATCACAGTGGGGTCTGGGTAGCTGTCTTCATTGTTCTCTCTAAAGGGATTGAGAGAACCTTCATTGCCATGCTTTAGCCATTGAAAGCCTACAACGTCATCTATTCTTGGTCTTTGTCCAGGATTTACAGTTAACAACTTAGCAATAACATCCCAAAGCTCTGGCGACAACTTGAATTCAAGAGAGTACTTTCCTGACAAGATTTTGTCCTTTAGTATTCCAAAGGTAGTTCCCTTGAAAGGGAGGCACCCTGTTGACATAAAGTAGAGTACAACCCCCAAACTCCAAATGTCGATTGCTCGGCCATCGTAACCTCCACCTTCAAAGAGTTCTGGGGCACAATAAGGAAGGGTCCCACAGAAATATGCTAGCTTCTGCCCCATGGTAAGCTTGGTGCCCAGCCCAAAATCACTGAGTTTTATATTGCCTTTGCCATCCACTAAAATATTTTCGGGCTTTAGATCCCTGTGAGCAATCCCTTTCCTGTGACAATACTGGAGGGCACACACCATCTGTTTAAATATCTTATGGGACTCCTCCTCCGGTAGGTAGCCAAACTCCACAATCCTGTTCATTAGCTCTCCACCTGTGGCATGTTCCATAACCATGTAAGTGTTTTTTGTGGTGTCGATTATGTGCAAAAGTTTAATGATATTGGGATGGTCTAGAGATTTCATTATTTCAATTTCTGATTTGATGAAGCTATTCTTTGTGCCTTTTGGAAGAACTTTTACTGCTACCCTTGTCTGGGTGAGTAGATGGCTAGCCAACTTTACTTCTCCGAATGCTCCTCGGCCAAGGGTCTTTAGGATTTTATAGTGCTCTGTTAAAGCCTCTTCGTCAAAAGAGTTGTGCTGTAGGGTTTTGCCTTGAGCCATTTCCCACTTCTTCTTCTTTGTTGATATAAATGCTTGTACCAACACCAACTAGTGATACAAGATAAAAATTAATTAAAAGTGGGTCTAGGAAAAACATTTATAGCTATAAATTCCTGCAGTTAAAAAAAAAAAGATGGATGTCCAAAATAACCTAATGATGCATGTCATGGTCATAGGAAAACAAGAACAAGCCAAACCCAAAAGAAATAGAAGAAATGCTCAGGTCCAGAGCAGAAATTGATGAAATGGAAATAAAAATAATACAAGGACCAATGTAACAAAGACTTGATTATTTCAAGAATATAACTGATGTAATCTTAACCAGATTACTTAACCAGATCTTAACTTAGAAAAATTGAAGATAGAAGTTAACAATATTAGAGACAAAATAAGGAACTAATAGAAAAAATTAAGATACAAGTTAATACTATGGGAGACAAAATAACATGGTATTACCAGAGATACAACTGATATCTAGACATCTAGACAATCACTAGGAATGTTTTTAAAATGGAATTGGAAAAATCTAGAATAAACTTCTAGACACACATTAGCTACCAAACTCAACTAAGAAAATATAAAACACCTAAACTGAAATACTGTCAGAGTCAGAGGCAGTGGATGACAATACAAACTGTTTTCTGGACAAAGCAGGGCAGTTGCCCATCTGAGTTTACAGCATTGTGACCTGTTTAAGCTCACTCCAGACAAAAGTCTTAGCACGACAGAGGGGAGGTGGGACAAGAAGTCACCACCTTCTTGAATGATCTATTGACAACTGATAGATTCCAGGAGAGGGAGAACACATTTTAAGGGTGTGGTCCCTGGTAGGTGGGACCGACCATGCTTCAGTGGAAGGCCATATATCCAAGAGTATAAGGACAACAGAAACTGTACTGGATGGCGAAAAACAAAACAAAAAGACACAAATCTGGGTGGCAGGAAAGGGAGTATGGAAGATCTGGGAGGAATTGGAGGAAGGGATAAACATGACCAAAATATATTGTATGAAATTCTCAAAGAATTAATTTAAAACAGAAAGAAAAAGCAACAAAATTGAAATAGTAATTTAAAATAATCTCTTGACAAACAAAAAAGTCCAGGACCAGACAAACTCATTGGTGATTTCTTTGAGACCTTTAAAGAATTCACACCTGTGGTGAAATTTTGTTTGTGATCTAACAAATAAAGCTTGCCTGAAGATCAGATTAAGATTAATTAATTAAGGACCATACCTCATGATGAAGGACCATACCTCATGATGAAGATGGGTTCACCCAGTCATATAAGGGATGCAACATATGCCAACTGATTAGCAATGTTGTGCAGAAACAGAAGGGCAAGAAACATATACTCAGCCAAAAAGAGTGAAATTGTCATTTTTCAGGGAGAATGCATGGACCTGGAAATCCTGGTGTTGTGTATAACAAGCCAGTCCCACAAAGACATTTTTTTTTTCAAATCTTGGATCTCAGGTTGGGGTGGGGACCTGATAGTAAAAGGGAATATTAGGGATGTAAAGGGGAAAGAGGAGGAGGTAAGTATATAGAGTAGGTGAATATTATCAAAGTACATTATGTACAGATACAGAAACGTTAAAGTGAATATTTTCTACTTTTTATGCTTAATATTTACTAACAAAAACTTTAAAAAGTAGAAAGACAAAGAAAATGAGAAGATCTCATCTATTTCTCCTTCACTGGGTGATCCATGTGTCCTTCCTAGGGTCCTCCCTGAAGCTAGCCTCCCTGGAGCTGTGGGTTGCAGTCTGGTTATCCTTTGTTTTACATCTAGCAAGACAGTTGCTTAGCTTAAACTGTTTAGGGGGCTCCCAGGCAGTGGGATCGGGACCTGTCCCTAGTATATGAGCCAGTTTTTTGGAGCCCAATGCCTATGGTGAGACACTTTGTGCAGCCTTGGTGCAGGGAGGAAGGGCTTAAACCTGTCTCAACTGAATGTACCAGGCGCTGTTGACTCCCCTTGGGAGACTTTGCCTTGGAGGAGGAGGGAATGGGAGGTGGGTTGGAGAGCAAGGCTGGGGGACAGAGGAGAGAGGACAGAGGAATGTGTGGTTGGTATATAAAATGAATAGAAAAACTCTTAATAATAATAAAAATAAATAAAAAATAAACCAAAACAAGGAAAACAATAAAAAAAATTTAAAAAGTGAGTAGTTAGAAAAAGAAAAATGGAGAATAGCTAACAAAGAATATTTAAAATATATAAAAATTAACATCCAAAACCAGAAACATAAATTACAAAAAATAAAATGAAAAACTAAAACCAATACCCCCAAAGCACAACCAGCAAAGTGAGAGAAAAACTCACTCTGTCAAGTACAACAAGTCACCAGCATCCGAGTCCAAAACTTCACCAACATCCAGGTCCAAAACTTTCACCCACGTCCAAGTCCCACAGATCACCATCCAACAGCTCTCTGTACTAGAAGGACAAAACCCAGCCCTAGGCAGTGTGTTATATGCACAGGTGTCAGTCATTCCTCACAGTGGCTCCTTGTGAGGTCAGAGCAAGACATGGACCAATGAGGGATGGGCACACTCCTGTCAAAGGACTGTGTTAGCTACTCTGCAGTCACTGCTACCAAGTGCCCCACAGAAAGTAACATAAGGAAGGGTTCCTTTCTGCTCACACTTTGTGAGAACAGGGAAAGCATGGTAGCAGGAATAGTTGGTGTTAGCACATGGCTGCTTACACTGTACTTGTGGTCACCCCACCTCCAACACCAGGCTAACAAACTACTTCCTGGAGCTAGACCCCCTCCCTAAAGCTAGGCCCCAACTTCCCAAGACAGCATTACCTGCTGGAGAGCACAAGTTCAAACACAAAGATGTCTACATGGGACATTTCACAAGCAAACCCTAGGCCGAACTGGCTCCACTTTAACAGTAGTAACAACAGAAATGATAACAATGAAAACATGGGCCCCTAAAACTCTGTGTTTTATTGGGTATAGACTCTGATATCTATCAGTAAGAAAGTGAACCCAGAGGATGTTCCAGTGACCTTTGCAAGTAAGATCAAAAATGCTGTGGTAATAGCTGGCTGTTACACACCTCAACATATCTACATTCAAAGTAGATATGTTAAGATTCAGATATTTGGGGTGCATGAGGTGTATTTTGGGGTATATGAGGGCTGCTCTCTTGTTCTAACCTGGCAGTTTGTTGTATGTTCTCACATGATCCTGGGAAGGACTGTACTCTCTTTCAGGCCCTGTTCAATAGGCGACACATCCTTCATGATGGTGAACCTCCCGGGTTGGTGCCTCCAAAGGCCCCCAGTCTCAATATTATCATTGCTTCAGGAATGAAGATCCAACATGGATTTGGAGGGACACATGTTCTAACATAATACCCCACAAACTAGAGCTGGTCACCACTAGACGTGACCTGCCTGAGGTGAGTCTTTGCACTTCTCCTGACAGACATCAAGCAGGATCTCAAAGACAAGGTAGAAATTCCTTATGTAAGGTCTGAGGACCTGCCCATTATTAAAGTTGTCATGTTGAGATGAAGGAGCCTGAGGAGCAGGGTAAAATATTTGACTGGCCAGATTGATATGAAAGTTTTAATGAATAATAGGCACTTTGGGAAGACACACAACAGGTGAATTCTGAGAGAGTCCCTTGCATTACAGTGAATGGGGTCCATTTTCACAACCATTAAGCAGTATTATCTGGCCTTGTCTCTTGGGCCATTTGTGTAGCCTCTTATTTGAATAGTTAAGAGGACAGATCACTATGTTTTATAACAGCATTGGCTTCCTGACCATTGGGGTGAGGCACCAGGGGCTGTGTTTGTCTGAGTGCTTTGTTATGAGGAAACCAAGAGCATACTGATAGTTGCAAAGAAATGTGGAGACTCGCTTTCATTGCAAATGCTATTCCTCATAAAGCCAGTTCCTTCTTTCCCACCTTCCATGAGTCTTCTTCCTTCTCCAGTCCAATGAACAAAGAATCACATTCTCTTGATAATTTGGGTTTCAAGTTCATGTCTCATGTATTTGTATGTAAATGGGTTTATACATTTATGAGTATAGCAGTATGTTACTAGGAGTCATTTTATTGCTATATTCCTTTATCAGAACATTACTAACATTTTCCTCCTAGGCCCATGACACATCATGTCTTATGATCTTGGGCACTTGAGCAGTGTCAGGTAAGAGTTCCATCTCATGGAGCATGGCTCAAATCCAATTTTAAAAAGTGGTTTGTTACCCCCATAACATTTGTATAATTGTTGTACCAGTGTATTTTTCAGGCAGATCTCTGTTGTAGGTCTCAGGGTTGTAGTGGGTGAATTGATGATTACTTCTCTCATCCAGTAGTGTAAATATTATCTTCCAGTATCATCAACACCAGTTTTTAGAGTAGAGTTTCTAGTTGGGCACCAGATTGGTTTTGCCATGGTCAGTGACAGAAGTAACTGGTGTCTCCAGCAACAGGACCTTGCTACCAGGCTGTGGAGAGTAACCAATAACCTTGGCAATAGTTGATGCTGTATGGGGCCATATATGTGACCCTTTGGGCTAATAATTTAACATTATGGTACTGGAGGTTTTACTTTGTGGCATAAGATGCCGGGTTTGAGCATTATCTCCCTTATTATATGATGACTCCATTAAATGCCTTTCACATACATATTTATTTCATGAAGTTGATGACCAGTGTCCATGTCACTTCCCACTCAGCCTCTGAGTGCTTTGTTATGAGGAAACCAAGAGCAAAGTGACACAGACACTGGTCATAAACAAGATGACTTTGCCCAAGCTTGGTCCATGAAGAGGGTCCAGTTCCCTGCAGTAACAAGATGAAGCCCCCTTCCAGGAGAAGAATGAAGATTTGACAGTTCATGGACTTGATTATGAGTAGGAGGGTTAATTACAAAACTTAAACATAGAAAAGTCTCTCTTTAAGATGATGTCAGTGTTCCTAATTTCTCTGAATGTTGTTTCAAATGGTCTCCTTTCATCCAGCACTGCATTGCTCATGGTGCATGCATGGTCCCAGTGAAAAGAGCCACACAGACAATGCGGACATTAGTAGATCTCACTAGAGCCTTATGGGACCTACCAATGAGTTGTCACCTAACGCTGGAGTATTGTTCTTTTTAATGATTTCTATAGTTTTCTTTTATTATTAGCATTTAAAGGCATGTATCTGCTGTGGTATTTGCATGGAGTCAGGGGACAAGTCTATGGAGTTAGCGGTCTTCCTCTACCTTTGCATGAGTTCCAAGGATTACACTCAAGTTGCCAGGCTTGCATGGCAAGTGTTTTTACCATTTCAGCCATTTTACAAGCCCCGAGGGATATTATTTTATTGAGTCTATCTTTTCTAGTTAATGTTTCTGTTCCTGCAATAAACATCATTACTAAAAACTTTTATATCACTGAGGACTACATGCCCAGAGGTGGCAGTGCCCTGACTGAGCTGTACCCTTCCATATCAATAAATAATAAAGACAATCTGCAGAAATATGGCCACATGCCAATCTTATCTTGATAACTCCTCAATTCAAAGTCCATTTTCCCAGGTTACTATTGGCTGCATCAAGTTGACAAAAACTGACCAGGAACTTATCCATTAAGCGATCTTGAAGATCAAATTACCTCGAGAATAAGATTCATTAGTAGAGTATTGGATGTTGGGTTATATGAAAGTACCTGTATTTCCATCCTTAGAATAAGTTGAAGGAGCCCACTTCTCATTTTAGTTTCTAGCTTAGAAGTACATTAAATAGAGTAGAATTAAGTGTTGGGATATGGTACAGACTCTGTATCAGCAAGTAATGAGAGGCTGGAGCTAAGAATTACTAACCATTGGACTTGCAACCACTGGATTGTTATCAAACGGTTCGTAAATTATTCAAAACATAAGTAAAGGAATACATAACACTTTCCAGGCATGGGAAACAAACAAACAGGACCATAGGGGTAGAAATGATTCTTTTCCATTTCCAACAGATGTATTTTTTAAATAGATTAGGAGAAAACAGCCAGTGGCACAAATGTGTGGAATAAATACAACTGTAATGTGATTTATTGATTATTTTATTACCTCAGTGAAGATTCAAAATATTATGGTCTCTCAACCAAACGGGAGATTCTGATCTCTGCGTTTTTGGAGTTTAAGCTGCAGTTCTTAATTTCTGGTCGATCACTGTGGTTTGGCATATACCATGCATATTTTTAATCACACTTGAGTAGAACAATGGCTGCTTGACACAGGCAGAAATAGGTAAGTATTTGGTTTCATGTGTCACATAACGAGCACAGTTTCTCTTTGCAATGCAGTGCCAGGTTGGACTCTACTTCTTGTCAGACTCCTTTATTTGGGCTGCAGTATCCTTTCTGTGATTCACTTCTCCACCACATAGGTAGCACACTCCACCATCCTGTTGATCTTCTTCTGTCATGCCTGCACTTTTCGTCACATATGGTCACCTTGGAGAGCAGGCTGGCCACTCACAGTCATCTCCTGGGATAAGTGTTTGCTCAGCTCTGGTCTAAAAGGAAATGTCATAGATACAGAAGAAGTAGAACTGATAAAAATTTCCGCATGTTGAATTGGAGATAGACAGTTTCATGCTCAGAAACCGCAGGTAAATAAGGAGGTGCAAGGGACCTGCCCTCTGCTGGCTGCTGGAGAGCTACTTAGAAAGCAGGAATTGAACCTAAAATCAAGCAGAAATAGCACTTAAAATTATTTTTAAGGTTAGTCTTTGAATTTTAGCTCTTTATCATTACTCTACTTTAATAACCAATTTTGAATTCTAAAATTGTGGACACTTTAGTTTCTATTTGCCTTGGGTGGAAGCTTTGAACTTCAAATTACAAGGACCCCTAAAACATTTGACAATCTTGATATTGTGGACTAGAGAAATAAGCCTTGGGGTCTGCAGTAATTGTAAATTTGGAGATGAAATAATGATTTTCAGCAAGAACTGGATTTTCTGAGCCTTTACTGCCTATTTGCAAACTCTACCAGAACCTGAACAAACCCTCGCACTGTGAGCTCTGTCTGCTGAATCTTGAAAGACGCTCTCCATAATACCTTTTCTACATCTAAGTTGTTTTTAACCATAGTACAATTTCTAATGTTTGAGAGATTGCAGGTAATATATGTCTACTTCCATGCTACAACAGGTATCTAATGTCATTCCAAAATTTCTAACAGCAACAGTGGTATATTTTAAAAAGAAAAGTTAAAGTTCTGCATAGCTTTATTACTTCCACTTACAGTATAATAGCTTTTAAATTATCCTTAGCTTCCTTCTGCAGTGTATAAGTATTTCTTAATGTTTTAGAATATTTCGTGGTTTTCTCTAACAGCATTTTAAAATGTTCTAGGAGAGCATCTTCTCAAATTCCAGTAGATGGCAGCATCGAGCTTCTGATCTGGCAAGGATGCCACTGCTCTGCTCAGCATAGTACTGATACATAGCTGCTGTCCCTGGTCTGGAAT